TCTTTAAAGTTTCGTTTTTCCCTTATCTTGTTTAGATGTTATTACCGGTTCAATAGGATCATCTTCTATCATTCAAATAAAATCACCGACTACTGCTGTGAGTACTAAGGATTCCCATGTGGTGCAAAATATTGAACCAACTACATTGTCATCTGCTGGAAATTGTATGTTTTTCGTTCTTCTCGAACCTTAAGAGACTCTTGAATAATTATTTTTCGATTTAGATTCATCAGAATCAACATCAGTTCAAATTATCGAATATATCAATTTTGCTCCCGTGGCGTCGAATGAAGTTTCAATCGGTAAGTACAAATAGATACTTGTACGAATACTAGGTATGTTTTTATATTTTTCTTTTCTTCATCTTTTTGTTCGTCTTCTCTCGTAGTTGAATTTAGCAAAATATTTCTACTTTGCCATAAAATCTGAAAAGTTTCTTTCCACTTGAAAATAATAGAAGGATACTCATATTTTTGTTTCAAGCAGAAAAACCGTTGTCATGTATATATTTCGTCCTTTAGAAAATTTACCTGATGCATCAACAATATCACCCTTATCAGCAGCTACAAAGATTCACGAATCTAAAACGTGTGAGAAAGAGAATCGAAATGTTCATACACCTATCTCAAAGAGACGCTCCATTCCACTTCTACCATCGTCATCGAATAAACTTTCTCCAGGTATACGTTTTATCTCTCTTTATCGTTTGTTTTTAACGATGTGTTTGTCCGTATTGTAGCTGATCGTTTATCTAATATTGAATGTTCGATGAATAGTTTAATATCTTATGTGAATGACCTTGGTGAACAAGTTTTATCCTTATCTGGTCAATTGAAGCCAATGTTAAAAACATTAAAAGTTATCCATAATGTAAGTTTTAGATTGTAGATGGGCAAGATAGGAAACCCATAAATGAATAAGAGCAGAAATATTGTTGTTTTTTGTTACACATTAAAATTAGAAATTAAATAGAGATCTTTTATTCACTAAACTCAATTTCGAAGTCTTATAACCGGGACTAAAATCTTATGTGTTTTTTTGTAGCATGTAATACTTAATAGTATCACAGATGCTATTGCAACACCTCCTGCTTTACGAACTCCTGAATCATCTTCTAGTACACTAGCAGCAAAAAAAGTTTTGGTATGTGCAATATTTCCTAGATTTTCGATCTGACCGTCTGTTCGTCGTGTACATTTATTTTTTTCTTTTTCAGATGTTCAATGATCAAAATTTAATGAATTTGAAGCATGAATTAACTTCAATTCGATCTTTCTTACGTAAAATGACAATGACAATGTACACACGAAGTGAAATATTAGCCGAAAAACATTTAGATGATAAAGATGATCGACATATGACAATAATTCGTAAGTCATTACATGTTCTGAAGCAATTGTTGATTCTCTAAGGATGGAATAATTATTTCAGATCTATTTTCGTTTAAAATATTGCCTTTACATAGCGGAATCAGATGCCATTCTTTATTATTTATAAAAAAATTTAAATAGCAAGTTTTTTCTTCCATTTACAAGAAAAAACAATTTTCAGTTGAAAGTAGTACGGAGTGCAAAAAAACCTGACCTCTTGAAATTAAAATGTAACTAAACATTTATTTATAATTGTTAAAGAACTAAATTATGTATCAACAGTAACAATAGTGAATGCACAAATATACAATATATACAACAACAATTTTATACAATCTTACAAAAAAAATTTAAACCAAACAGTAGTCACCATTTTTCACCCTATGTGGACCTATTTCCCATGGTAGTGATCTGCTTTGAGCTCAAAAACTAAATAACCTCTCCACATTTTTTTTTGTTGAGTTATATATAGACAGTTGTAGTTTTTGACAGGCTTTCTCCTGATGTAAAAAGATTTTGAAGAGAGAATTATTCTAATATACTTTCAGAGCAAAAATATAAAACCTTTTCATAAAAAATGATCATTTTTGTCGATTTATTTAGTTAAAAATAACATATTAGAGACTCTTTGGACATAATTTATATTTGACAATCTTGTTCTGTCATAGTGTATTTTAGAGATCTAATCAAGATACGTTAACGAATACTAAAACAGAGTGATCTTTGATGCCAATATATGTAGTCATAACGTGTTACATAGACTTCTTTAAAATTTATAAAATAGTACCTGAGGGTAATTTCAAAGATCCGTTCATATCTCTTGATAGAACTTTCAGAATGGGCGAAAAATTTGGGTCTGAACATAATTTTTCACGAGCTCTCGAATGGCACAACTTATTTAAAAATTAAAATTTTTCGTATGCATGGTTGGTCAGTAGTTTGAGGGATCCTCTCTTAAAATTAAATTTTCTAATATATGATAAAGTAATAGGTCCACCCAGGGTGAAAAAATGATGACTATTGCTTGGTTTAAGTCTTTTTATTGTAAGATTGTATAAAATTGTTGCTGTATATATTGTATATTTGCACATATTCACTATTGTTACTGTTGGTATATAATTTAGTTCATTTTTAATTATAAATAAATATTTAGTTACATTTTAATCTCAAGAGATCATCTTTTTAGCACTTCGTACTCTTTGTATGAAGAGCGAGTGAAACTTGAAGATATAGCTTTCTTATTTCCTTCAGAGTTTTCCCATTTTCATTTCATTAAGAAACACATTTTCTTGTTTTTCTACCTTTAGAAGGTTTAAAGAGTGGTTTCAATTTGGATGATGATGGTATTGAAGCTCTTCATGCGTCATTGAAAGAAGCAAGACGTCAATTAACACGAGATGTACGATATTTAAAAGTTATGAAACCAACATCTGTAGAACATGCATCAACAAAAAATATTGATCAAAATCAGGATGAACATACGATCGAACAAAACGAGGACGATTCAACAGGTGTAAATGATACATGAACTGAAATGCTTGAAACGTTCTTACAACAAACATGAACAGATTTCTTTTCCTTCTGATGATACTCTTCTTTTCCTCTCTTTTTTCTTATCTTCTCTCGTTAACTCTGCTACAAATATTTACTTGTGTCATACTGTATCTTTTTTTGATATAAATGTGTTAAAGTAATTGGAAGTTAACTTTGTTTACACAGTATTACTGATCTACAGAAATGATTATGGATTCCCTAGTGATTATTATGGGAGTCACTGGCAAAGTTTCCAGGGAGTCCCTCAAAAGTCCCTTATAACTCCCTCGGGAGTCTGTTACGTGAGTCCCCAGGGATTTCTTTAAGGGAGTCCCTCGGGATTTTCCTAGGGAAAGTCGACTAGGGTATTCTATCTCTTTACATGAATATGATGGTACAAATTTATATGCTGGTACAGAATCACAATGGGGAACATTATATTTTGATTTTGATAAAGAAGAAACACGTCGATTTCTATTTGCTAGTGCTCTTTACTATCTTGATCGATTTCATTTTGATGGAATTCGTTTTGATGCTGTTAGTCAAATGATTCGACGAAATCAAACAGATATTCAGAGTGCTATTTCATTTTTACATGAACTCAATCATATTATTCATACACATTATCCCGGTGTTCTGTGTATTGCAGAAGAGACAGAAGGTTATCCTAATCTTAATAGAACAATGAATTTTGATTTAAAATGGAATATTGGTTGGAGTAATGATGCACGAAATTTTCTTCGAACACCATATACTGAACGATTTCAACATTGGAAACAAAAAATATTAGATGTTTTAAATTGTGCACGATGGAATGATGATAAAATGATTTGTACGTTGAGTCATGATGATACAAATGATGGTCCATTTAGTAGTAAAAATATTCTATTGAATTGTGTTTCACATGCTCGAAATGATATGGATAAATTTGCTGATCTAAGAAATTTATTTGCATGGCAAATATGTATGCCAAGTCGCGGTCATATGATACATATGGGTGATGAAATTGTTCAACCAATGTCTTGGTTTCAACGATGTTTTCGAGGAAAGTCAAGTATGGATTGGTCATTATCTAATTCAACATCATTACATGGAAAAATTCAAGAATATATACGTGATCTCAATCATCTTTACATTCTTTATCCACAATTTTGGGAATATGGAGAAGAAGGTTATTCATTAATCTATGAATATGGTGAAAATCTAGTAATTGCATATCATCGAGGTATTTTTAATAATTGTAGAATTACTGTTATTCATAACTTTTCAAATCGTGGTTACACATCCTATGATATTCCATTACCAAGATCGGATCCTAATGTAGAACGTATTCGAGATGCAATAGAAATATTCAATACAGATGATCTAAAATATGGTGGATCAGGTACTTTTCAAAATCAACAGATTGAAATTAAACGTAATAATGGAGAAGATATCATATTCACAGTTGCTCTTCCTCCTCTGTCGACAATAATATTAGAAGAAAATTTAATATAATTAAGAAAATTACTATGTAGATCTTGTATATATTATTCATTTATGTGAATATTCAGGTTTTTTCTAATCTCAATTCTTCGCAACGAAATCATCGGCGAATTCTCTGCAAAGGCGAAATTCCTGTCGTAAGTGTGGGTATAGGTGCCGGTCGTTCTGAATGTCTTCATTCTGTTTAATCACCCACCTATAGCCCCTTCTAAATAAACATTAAAACGCTTAGTGTATGCACAGCTTATTTTGTGTTATTTTACTATACTAAAACATATGGTTTTTTGATTTTTATATGCTTGTGAAATATCGGAAAAAGATTTAATTTAAGATAAAGTGAACGAAATTATTTGTTTGTTTTTGATAATCTATCATTTGCTTTATTTTATACAGATAATAATCACGCTTAATTTTTCGGATGCTCAGCTAATCTATGGCTTTTCGATTTGAACACTAAGTATAAAAAAATTCAAGAGACGTCAATATCTCGACATTGTTATCCGAGGACACTTGAAGTGTCGTAAATTAACACATAGATCAGCTTAGTTAAACATTTCATCTGTCTTCATTTTGTAGAGTGTACGAAATTTACTACTATTTGATTTGTCTCGTTCATTACAGTCCACGAACAGAGCTGTCACAATATCTAATCGTCACACTTAAACGAGATTTAAAATTTAACAAAAACATAGCTACCATCTCAATAATTACCCCACTAAAATAAACTGTCTACTCACTATACAAGTGAATATGATTTTAAACGATCAAACTGCATGGCTATCAATAAAAAAGTGCGGATGAATAACGGATAATTTTCAATTCGAATTTAATTTAAAGAATCAATCAGATCAAAAAGGTTTGAAGAGTAAAAGAAACCGAAAATTTTCTTAAGAGAATTGCAGATTTTCTCCTTATACATTACACAGCCTGATTATAAATGCTTAAGCGTGCGAGAAAGATAGACTTGAGTAATGTACAGTTTTTTTTCTAGCTAGCATTAATTAAGTATTCATAAATTGTATACATGAATTGAAAGAATTTTTCTCTGCTAAAATAAGATGGGTGTGAGGGTGGGTGTGGGAATGGGTGAGGGGTGTGGGTGTTCAATTCCCTTACAACACCCACACCCACACCCTTCACGCATTATTCACAATATGGTAAGTTTATACAAATAATTTAATGAGATAAGAATATTTACTATTTTAACGCAGTTTGAAGTTTTGTCAAAAGATTTAATAAGAGATCAGATGGTTAAATTTCATGTTGATAAGAGGGGAAACTGATAAATATTGATGAATGCATCGGAATCATCGACAATAAGTTTTTATCTACTAGAAATTCTTTTTTGATAAAGTGATCAAAGAAAATTTCTAGAATTTATAATTAAATAAGATTGTTGAGGGTAAGTTTCATATTAAAAAACTGGACTCACTATTTCATCCTTGATTAAATATTA